CTACATTATAAAGCAGTAATTATCAAAACTATCAGGTACTAGCTAAGAAATAGGAAGGTAGATCAGTGGAATAGAGTAGACATACAATTTACAGTAGTAAATAAACATAATAACCTATATTTGAGAAGTGTAAGGACTTAAGATTTTGGGATAAGAATTCATATATTTAGTAAAAATTATTGGGAAAACTGGAAAGCAGTATGGCAGACACTGGGCATAGACCAATGTCTTACACCATTTACCAAGATAAAGTCAAAGTGGATACATGACCTAGATATAAAGAGAGATATTACAGGAAAATTAGAACATGGAACATATTACTTATCAAACTTATGGACAGGCAAACAATTTATGAAGAAACGAGATAGCAAAGTTTGGTGTAAAGTAGATAACTTTGATTACGTTCAGTTAAAAAGTTTTTTGTACAAATATAACAAATGTAGGTAGCCAAGATCATGAAGAAGACAGTTCTGGGAGTAGATAGTTTCTCAGATAAAGCTCTCTCAGCGAGAGCAATTTGTAAGTCTTAAGTTTGTTATGGGTAATGACCTTGATTTTTTTTTTCCCCAAGAGCAAGAAAGGAGAAATCAGAGGAAACTCACTTTCTGAAGCAATCCATTCCAATTTTGGACACTTTTAATTGTTAAGAAGTCTTTCTTTATACTGAGTCAAAACCTGATGTTCTAATTCCAAGGTTAAGTAAAAGAAATATAATCTTTCACATGATAGCCCTTTGAAATTATTTGAAAACAATTATCATGTCACCCCCAAGTCTGATATTCTTCAGGGTAAAAATCTCCAGTTCCTTCAACCAACCTAATATAACATTTTAGAGTCCCTTTGCCATCTTGGTTGTACTCTAAACATGCTGTAGCTGTCATAGTCTTTCCTAAAATGTGATGAGCAGAGTAGAACACAGTGCTCCTGACATATTCTGATCAGTGGAGAAGAGGGGTCTCTTAACCTGTCATCCTGGACATTTTGGTGATATTAAATTAGTTTGGTTTTGCTATGGTATAAACTATTTCTAGAATTCAGCCAAAATGAGGTACTCAGTCTTTCAAAGATTAAACTTAAGGCATCATATCAAGTTTGTTTTGTTTTGTTTTAATACTAAAGACACTCTAGGGAAATGGCTAGTAGATGAGACACTTATAAGGCTGCAGAAGAGGAAATTGCACCTGAGTGAGATTAAGTGACTTGCACAGGGTCACACTGCTAGTAAATGTCTGAGGCAGCATTTGAACACAGGTCTTCCAGACTCCAGGTCCAGTCCACTGTACTACCTAGGGAAAGTGACAAAAAGGATAGAAAGAAAGAAGTGTAAAAAGAGAGAGACTCTTGTCTGTGAATCCTCAAGCAGTTCAGTAGTCCCTTGAAAGCCAGAGCACCCAGAATCAGAAGATTGAATATTTTCAGGTTCCAGGGTCAATTCCCAATTTATATCCAGGCCCTACCTACGTAGATTTGCCTTGTTTTCTCTTGAGACTATAAAAAACAAGGATCTACTTACTTGGTTATACTCTAAAGGGTGAGTTGAGATTATGGTGAGGAAAGTGATGTTAACTCCCCAAGCGACGTCATGAGATGATCCAACTAAATGAAAGTGGAAGAGTTATATAAACATCAGAGTTAATTATCTGTCATCACTACTCTTAGAAAAGACTAAATAGCATTCTAGCATTCAAAAAGTCATCTTTTCTGAAATGGGAAACCATTTATTTGCTTCTATTTTCAAACTTGAAAATGTAACTGGAAAGTGATGGTTCTTTACCTTAGGAATTTCTCAAGGTTTTGCATGCATATGAAAGATTTATATAAATATTTATTTAATTAATATTTAATATTAATATAAAGAAGACAGTGCTGGGGCCCTGACAGTGATTTTTCAGAATTTGAGGTTTGGTTGTGACTGTAAATTACTTGTTTCTGAATATATAATTTATTTTTGCTCTTCTTTTAACAAAACACTTCTCTGATAATTGTATTCAGTGGGCTTAGAAGTGAGGAGATGGTGCTTACCTTCTGGGTTGTCAAGTAGAGATAGATATTTTTGGTTTCTGAGTTGGAGTATGGGCCATTTGAAGTGTAAGATGTCCAAAGAGGTAACCTTGTCCTTAATTCTATAAGCTTGTACCCCACCACAAGGATTATATGTATGTATAGTTTTATATTCTCTCTTCTTAGTTTGAGATGAATTTCTCACTGGCTTGGCGGAAAAAAGCCCTGCTCAATTAATTGCTTTTTTACTTATATGTGAACCATGATTCATTTTCCTAGGGTGAATGCTGATAAAAAATGATTGTCCATCCTTGGACCTCATGAGTCCTGATCTAGTTTCCCATAAATTGTTATCGTTAATACAACTATACAAACTCATTAGTCAGATTTAGGCAGGATTCAAGATTTAAAAGCAACCATGACTGTAAATGCCACTTTTATGAATGAAATTTCACACAAGCCAGATGGAAATGTAGGTATGAAATGATGTGAAAAATGCGGGAATGGCAGCAATAAAAGGCAAATTGGGAAAAGCAAGAAGTTTGTTTTCCATATTATATTTAATAATTTTAAAGAACACATCACAGTCAATTAAAAGGTAACTTTATATTAACAAAAATATGTGCAAATATTGTACATGATTCCTTATTATTTAAATCTCTTTACAATATCAAAATCTTATCCATAAAAGTTTAAAATAGAACAAAATAGGCCTTTAGTTTCAAGTAAAACTTTCAGTGAAGGTATAGCTATGGAGATGTTTACTGTTCACAAAAATGCACAGGGAAACGGCATTCTTAGTACCTATTTGGAAAACAGCCATGTCACATATGGCTTGCAGTGCTCACAAATGGACACTGGCCTTTACAAACCTTTAACCTTACTGAGAAATATGTGACTTTGGTATTTTCCTTCTTATAAAAGACAAACTGCATATTCCCCCTATTAAACAGAGGCATACAGTTTTTTTTTCCTTCAAGGCTATCATTTTAAAACTAGCTCTTTAGGGCTAGAAAAATGCTTCCTAAATAGACAAGTGTGTCCTATGTCCAAGATTCAGAAGAAATCTAAAGTCAGGTAAAGGCCCAGTTACCTATGGAATGTGAAAGAGTCTCATATATTACAGGATGTTTTAGCTCGTTCAAGAGGCATTTAAGCAATACTCCTTGTTTATGATACTTCCATTTAACCATTCAGACCTGGAACCAAGAAAAAGCAGCATGGTATAATGAAGGTGCACTGAATTTAGAGTCAGAAGTCCTGGGTTCAAATCCCAGGTCCATTATGTACTACTATCTATGTGACCTTGTGGAAATCATCTAATCTATTCAGGCCTTAGTTTTCTTGGACATGATGATCTCTAAGGTCTATTTCTAGTTCTAAATCCTATGATTATTATTTCTTTTTGTTTTTCAGCAGAATAACAACAATAACAAACAAAGACAGATTCTGCCTTTGGACATTTATGCTTAGCCACCAGACATAGGGAATTTCACACATATATGCCAAGTACAAAACTTAGCCTTTCAATAAAAGATATTCTCAAATTGGTGGCTGTGCAGTTTTATTTTATTTTTTTCTCTAAGTGCAACTTCTTTAACTTCTAGGATGAAAGAAATTCAGAGCCAATTGTACTTCAATATTCCTCACAAAACCTAGTAATGCATTGGCCCTCAGAAAATATTAGGTAAGCATAACAATAATAAAGTTTGGTGTCTAAAAATCTAGATTTTTTTCAATTGCATGTGTATATTTGTACATACATGTATACACTTACTGTCTATACCAAAATCCCTTAAAAAATTTTTAGAGCATCTTAAAAGGTAGTGTTTTCCACAGCTTAATAATTTTCAACATTGAATATTTTCTCTGATATATTTTTTGGTTTTATATATTATGTGTTCATGATTTACTAAAAGCTAGTTTTTATATAAAATGCAAGAAATTTTAAAGAAAGCTTACAAAAACATAACTTTTAATTGCAATGTACCTATAAGTGTTAATATTATTATAGCTTTTCTTTTAAAAGATATGAATTTTAAAGTGCTCATACAGTTATTTTAATGTTAGATTTTAGAATAGTCTGCAATATCTAACTCAAATCAACAGTGACTTCTAAAAACATATGTAATATGCATATACTGAATATGCGTGTGGATACAGGCATACCAATTGTCTTAAGCATGATATAGGCTGTCTGATCCTAGAAATATTCATATTTTATCTTGTTTCAACTATGATTAATTAATTGTATATTCTGTAAAATTACCACTTTTTAAAAAAGATGCATAATTCTGTCATTGACTGCCTCTCCCCCCCAACTTTCACATACCTCTCTGCAGAAATACATTTTTCATAAGTACATCAATACAATTTTATAGCATCTGAATTCCGGTTAGGTTTCTATTCACAGGTAGTATCGTTTCTTTCTCATGTGCTAACTTTGTATTTAAGGGGAAAAAAAAGATTCACTTTAATTATATTACCAAAATAGACTATCATGTCATTTCTGCCTTGGTTGATGAATCATTGTAAATATTTGTGGTCTTTATTTTTCATTGCTTTATGCTTCAGGCAGAACCGCCTACAGTGATAAAGAAAAAAATGGATACTTTCTTTTCTTTGAGCTTCAGAATAACACAAAAAATTAATGCTAGTCATTCCAAATGCATCACTACCTTCCCAGATTGGAAATAAACATGCATCCCCTTTAACATTGCTAGTAAATCTGCCCCTTTTCATGGAAGAATCTTCACTGTATATTCAGCATATACTCTTAAAATTTGCTTGAATTGTTTTTCTCATTAGCCATTCTGTGCAAAACAGACTGTTTATAGACCTGGCTTAATGACAGTCTTAGGAGAAAAACATGCAAATATTTTAAAAATATGCAATAGAAAACAAATGAGTTTTAAAATTCAAAGAAATAGTCAAGATAGAAAATGCTTTCAGAGTATTGCCACACAGTCCATGGTGGTGCCAACTTCATTAGCCTTCCATCAGGAAGCGAGTCTACGCATTGCCTGCAGAAACAAAGAAAGTTGATTGATAGATCTTAATTTAACTGGAATCTATGTCTTCTTTTCCTAATTCCAGATTGCATAAACTTCACTCAAATGTACTCATTTGTGGTGTATCTCAAAATATATGTGTTTCTAAAGAGTTGAATACAAACTGAATTTGTGTAAATCTAATCATATTGTAAATGAAATAGAGAAACAAATGATTTAAAGGAACTATGCCCTGACTACTCTTTAAAAGCGCGTAATACATCAAATTTATCAGCTTTTTAAAGTCTCATTTGTGGGTCTTCTTAAAGCAGGGGTTCACCTGTGTTTTATCTTGTGATTATAAAAAATTTAATTGAAATATATATGTACACATACATGCTTTTCACCCACCTTTGCTACCAATGTTAGTTTTGTAGACAGAACAAAGCTGGGTCAGTTAGTTATGGGTAAGAATCAGAAATCAAAATTATCCTAACGATTTTCGCCATGGTTTTTCTTTAAAAACAAGATAAATGTGAACTAATTTTCATAAGTAGAAGTTGAGAATAGTGAAGATGTTTAGCCTAAAGAAGAAAAGCTTAGGAGATGTATGAACAGGGTAACATCAATGTAGAAGAGGGAAAAGATATCATATATTGCTCCAGAGGGCAGAAATAGGACCAGAGTAAGAGCTATAGGGAGGCAGGTTGCTACGAACAAATAATATTTTCATAGTGCAAACTTTCAAAAATGGAAGAACTATACAAGCAGAGTCAGGATGACTCCTTGGGATAGTTTTTGTAGATATTTCTCATTGGTCAGTTTCCAATCAGACGTTCATAATCTGTGCTTTTCAGCTCATTATAAAATATAATAAATGATTTATTTTATTTGTAGAAATAATAATCATACCTCATCCTGGACATCAAGACCATCTTCATTCATCTCTCTGTCCGTTAATTCAAGAGGATCTTTATATTCTTGTATCAGATTAATCTTGACAAAGAGAATAAAATTAATATTCACTGAGAACATAATTACCCATTCCAGTAACCTAGTTAATTTTGCTGCTATAGACATGACAAGAGCTATAAGTCCACACAGAAATGTTGAGGATAAACTGGGAAAATTAGAAGTACATACTGAACTAGGGGTCAGAGCATTTCCTTTGGGTTCAGCCCTCAGAGAAGCATTGAAGTGGGATAGAGATGTAGGGTGTAGGTTCCTGTATCCTCTGGCCTATCCTAAATCATGCTCAAATAACACTATTGGAAAACCAAGAGGTCAGTGACAAATATTTACTATGAGTACCTGACACATGCCAGGAATGGCAATGGAGACCCAAATAAGTATAAAACAGGGTCATGGCCTGTCCTCAGATACATGGAATGCTAAATACAATTCTGAATAAAGGTAGGATCACTGAGGTATGTAGTTCGTTCCTTAAACAAATTCAATAGAGGTGAGAGAATTAAAAACAAGATTCTGAATGCTGAGGTTACTCAATAGTCTGGTCTTCTTAAAGCCAGACCAGAGATTTTTTCAGAGTCCAGATCCCCTATGTATTTGGTGAGAAGGTTCACAATATGGAAACCCTTAAAAAACCAGTGAACTTCTTTTGTTTTGTTAAGACAGTATCAAATTTGAACAGATCCTCATGGTTCTCTGGGCTGTGGGCTGGTAGACCGTTTTTGAGTTCATTTCTAACCTAATCCAAATAGCAAAAAATTGCAGGATTTAAACTATTTTAACTCCATTTGCAAAACTGAGTTTCACATGTAGTCTTTTGAAAAGGCAGTATATGACTAATGTCCAGTTTTTAAACACACCACATCAAGTATGGGTGTCTTCTTATTTGACCAAATGGCTTTTATAAAGCTTTCTAACCTCTTTCAAAGAGAGACACAGAGATTAAATGTTTACCTTTTCCAAGATAGGGTCTTGAATAGTTTGGGTTTTAACTTGACTCTGTATGTATAACACAGCATCATGAACAGTCAGGAAGAACATGTCCATTACAATATTATCTTCATAGAAGCCACATTGCTCCAGTTTTGCTATCACATGGTCTTAGAATGAAATATAAAAAAAGAAAATATGTTCAAGTTAAGAGTAATGAGAGTACAGCTCCATACCATCAAAGCAGATTATTAATATCTTCTTGCCTGTGACTCCAAAAATCAATACATACGTTCAGTTTGTATTTCTAAGGAAGCAAGGATATTTTTCAAACATTAACCAGTCTTAAAAGTTTACGTAGCTTACATGTGCATTGTAGTTCTTTGCATGTCAATTCTCTTTTTATAAAGTGACCTTTAGGGAAGAGATCGAATTTTTGCCTTTCTTGGTATCCCCCCCAGGGCTTAGCACAGGACCTTGCATAGTAAGCATTTAATAAATATTTGTTGACTGATTGGCGATAGCCCTAAAATAATCACACTCACACACACACACACACACACACACACACACACACACATTTTTAAAAATAACATAGCCTTGGATCAGCTAGGTGGTACAGTAGATAGAGCACCGGCCTTGGAGTCAGGAGGACCTGAGTTAAAATCCAGCCTCAGACACTTGACACTTACTAGCTGTGTGACCCTAGGCAAGTCACTTAACCCCAATTGCCTTGTAAATAAATAAATAACACAGCCTTGAGCTTATGTACTTAAGTGCTTATGTACTTCTTGCCTAAAGGTAATTAATAATATTTATCATATGGGATGGTTCTCTGAGAAGAGGAGGGCTATAAGAATACTAGGGATAACTATGATGATGTAAAAAACAGAAGACACCAATAAAAACTTTTTAAGAAAATAAAATGTTTTGTTAATCAACAAGCATTAAATGCTTACTATGTGCCAGGCACTGTGCTAAGTTCTGAGGAGACAAGGAAATGCAAAAAACAGTCCCTGCCTTCAAGGCATTCCATTCAAATGGGGGTATACAGCATGTAAATAGTGAAGTCTACAAAACACATACACAGTAGATGCATGTACTGTTCCAAGAGCTTACGTTCTCTCAGCGCATGCAAGATGTTCATGCAATAGCTAGTCCAATTACTCTAATTAGCCTCATCATTCCAATCTTGGCTTTACGCACAGACACCCTAATACATTTTTTTCTGACTGAAAACATTCTTTCCTATAAGAAAACTTTTGCCTCTCCAGATAGCTATTATTCCCCTTTATCTACACTACTTTAAGTAATTCAGTATATTTGTGTAGGTGAGTATGTATGTGCATATATTGGTTCTCTGTACAAATTTAGCACTTGATTACATAATATTTTCTTATATTTTTTGTTTGCTTCCTATGTGTATGTAGTGAGAGTGGGGGATTGATCAGAGGACTGCTGACCAATCTAGTTCCCCCATACCATATGATAAAATTAGGCATGTAAAGGGTAAGTAGGAGAGCCAATGAGATGTTGATGAAATTGCAAATCAGCCATGCCCCTGGTCACAAAATATGTAACTCAGATTTGCTTTTGCAAGATTTCTTCTTCCAGAAACAGCAAGAAAACACACACAAAAAAAAACTGTGCCACTTCATCATAACTTACAAGCTGCAACCCTTCTGATGCCCACTTTCACAAGCAAACTTCAGGTCTTTGTCAAGGTAAAAGGCCATATTTATTGTATATCTTCTGATGCAGTAGGAGCTGTGAGTAGAGAAGGGCTGGTCTGAGTCACTTCTACCCCCTTCACCTACCCCACCCCCTTCCACCAGACCTCTAGCCCTGAGGCTCAGAGTTGTGGCAGCCTGCCCGACCTGCCCAACCTGGAGTTCAGGTGGAGCAGCGGCCTGAGGCCATAGCCCTTACCACTGACTATTGTTTCTTGAGCTTCTGTTTCACCTGAGCAGCTTTTTGCAGTCAGGTTCTTTTTTTGTTTGCTTATTCTTTCAGCCTATTTCTTAATTTTGGAGTTTGTTAGTGTTGGGCTCTGCTCACTTCTGGAGAAGAGGGGGAGATGTCTGGCTTGAGCTCCTGTCCTTTTATGTTCTCCTGCTGCTTTCACAATCCAGTATGGGGGCTTGCAAGTTTTCAGTGCTCCGAAGGGAAAGTCTGTTCACTGCTCTCCTGGTCTGGGCTCTGCAAGTTCTTGACCCAAGTTTGAGTCTGTTGGCTTCTGTGTGGTTGGGTTTCAGTAGACTCTTGCTGAAATCAGTCATTGCTGGCCCTTTGGGAGATTCTGCAGATTTAGTGACTGAACTGCTGGCTCCCCTTTAGTCTGGGACATCCTCCCCTGGTTATTCCACTGTTGGACTAAAGGCTAGAACTGGGCTCAGTCACATAGCTAAGTTTCTGGAACTTGTTCCTGCTCAGTACTCAGCTAGGTTCTGTGCTCCCTTGAATTCTTCCTTTCTATCCTGGATCTGGGACCCAGAACTGGGTAATGGGCAACAGAGCTTCCAGATGGCATCTGTTCCTGCTTCTAGCACCCTGAGATCTTTCTGCCCCAGGGCTTCCTACCCAGGGACTCCCTTTTCTCTACTCTACACTGTTGGCCATACCCCACCCCTATGTCTGTGACTTTTCTTGACTTTCTCCCAGCCAGACATCAGTGTGACCATTTTCTGTGTTGTAGAGGAGACGTGCTGGGTAAACTAGGCAAAAATATTTCCTTTCACTCCATCGTCTTGACTTCACTCCGGGGCCACTATTACTGTATTTGTGTATTTCTTATCCATCTAACATGTATAAAACTATGCTACTATTTTTTTTAAAAATTAGGGTCTTATACTTTTTTAAATGTAACACTGACACAGTTTTGGAGCATCATGCCCTTAATTCCATTCCTTCATGGCTCTGTAGTTCTTATTGCACAATTTTTCATAGTGGAGTGCTTTTGGAGAACACATTTGTTCATTATAGTAGAACTGCCTATATATCAGTTTCCCACAAAATATTGTAATATTCTTGGGAGCTGGGCCCATGTCTTCTACTTATGTTACAAAAGAATGAAAATACTGTGCATTGGACATAGAACAAAATTATACATGTTGACATAACTAGAGAGAGAAATATTGGTGGGGTTGGGGAGATAGAGTGGAAGATCATTCTGTATCCCTGTCCCAAGATAAACCTCTTCGTCCTCGAGGAAGTTTTTCATCAGAGAGAGTGGGGGAGGGGGGTGGGTGAGGGGAAAGATGTCCATTTGAGGTAAGTCTTCATTCAATGGGAAGGCCATCTCTACCCACATCTCACCCTTTTATACTTTCTCACTGATGCAACCCAGTCAACAGAACATGGGTTTCAATGCATTCCCAGCACTACTGAGTAAAGAGGAGGTTGTGTATTTTCATTCGGAAAGGTACTCATACACAAAGTCCCCAGACTCCACAGGTCTGGGATGAGGAGGGGCAGGAAACTGTGAATAAGTATATGCATACATACGTACACTTACCTTTAAGTGAAGCAAAGTACACATTCACATCAATTCTATGGAATTCTTTTACAATCTGAAAAGAAAAGTGAACTTTTAATGTTGATGTAAATTCATACATGATTCTTATGGGCGTGAATTAATATAGCCACATTTCTATAGCATCTGATCACTAAAGTATTACCCAGCTCCAAAAAGTTCCTCAAATAAACAGAACTTGGGAGTTGCCACAAACCTATGAAGGAGAGCTAGTGTACTGAATGACAGGCAGGATCTTAAAAGATCTTGGCAGGCTAGAAAATTGGGCAGAATTCAATAAGATAAAATGTAATAAAGATAAGTGTAATATCTTGCACTGAAGTTTGAGAAATATACTTCACAAATACAAGATAGGTGAGTCATGGCCACACATCAGTTCCTCTAAAAAAGGATCTAGGAATATTAGTGGACTTCAAGCTCAATACAAGTCAACAATGTGTTATGGCAATTTAAAAAGTAACAACGGCTTGGATTTCATTAAGAGGAGCATGGCTTCTTGGAATAGGGAGGTGATATTTCCTCTGTACTTCATCCTGCTCAGGTGACATCCTGAGTATTATAGTCAGTCTTGAACAGTACATTTTAGAATGGATATTGATAAGAGTAACCAGGATGCAAAAGGCTTCAGATTCAGGGGCAGCTAAGTGGCACAGTGAATAGAGCTCCAGCCTTGGAGTCAGGAGGACCTGAGTTCAAATCCAGCCTCAGACACTTGGCACTTAACTAGCTGTGTGACCCAGGGCAAGTCACTTAACCCCACTACCTAGTCAAAAAGCTTTAAAAAAAAAAAAAAGGCAAAAGACTTCAGATTCACGTCATATGAAAATTGTTGAAGGAACTGGGCATATTTAACCTTGAGAAGAGGTTTATGTTGGACCCAAGTATTTAAGCATTCCAAAAGGTAAAGGTGAAGAAGTAGAATCCAGGAATGTGGGAGAGCCTTTGCAAAGGAACACAGGCAGGGGCAGCTAGCTTAAATACCTAAGTATTTAAAAAACATCATCTGGAAGAGGTATTATTAGACTGGAACTATCCTCAAGTTCCAATTTTTCCAAGAATCCTTTCCCAGTCCTCCTCAATATTAGTCCCCCCACCAATTTATCCTTTATGTGACTTTCTTATACATAGTTGTTTGTGTTGTCTTCTCCATTAGACTCTGAGCTCCTTGAGAGCAAGGATTGTTTTTTGCCTTTCTTTGTATCCCCAGCATTTGGCACACAGTAGACATTTAATAAATATTAGCTGACTGACTAGATCCAACAGGCAGAACTAAGAGTGATGGATGGAAGTAACCAAGAGTCATATTTAGACTTGATTAAGTGAAAAACTTCCTAACAGAACTATGCCATAGTGGAAATGGCTGCCTCGGGAGGCAGTAAAGGTCTTGTTGGGCATGTTATAATGGGAATTTTCTTTCATTGGGTGTATGGGAGGTATGGATTGAATTAGATGGCCACTAAAGTCCATTCCAGCTCTGAAAATCTGGTGAATCCAATAAGTTTGCAGATGAAAGAAATTTACACAGACAATGGAACTTTAAATGAATAGATAGATTGTGCTAGACCCATTGGAATGAGTACCATACTGAGGGGGTGGTTGATTTCCTTTATATAACCCACACTAATGGGAGGAGAGAGTATCAGCTCACAGTTGTATTTGAGTGAGTGCTTCTGTTGCCGTAGGCAGATGTATGTGTGTTAAAAACTTCATTTTTTCAGAGACATTTATCTATAATATTTGATAATAATGAGGGTGTGTACTAATATATACATTATAAGTAAGGGTGTGTTGGTAAATGTTTAACAAGTAGCTTTCTGAAAATATTCATATGCTTAAGTTTAATATTCATTATTAAAATTTTCTCCATCACTTTCTTAATTTTGGACCATAAGCTAAATGATGATTCAAGCCCGCATTTGTAGTACTTGCCAATTCCCAAGGTGTAAATGCTCACCCTAAAATTGTAATAATTGGCTCTTCCAAACAGGTATGAGGATGTCTCCAACGAAACTCTGATTATAAGTAAATAATATCTGTGAAAACCAAAAATTCACTTTTTTACTCCCTTTCATTTGAAAGGGCAACTAACAATAAGGCTGTGTGTGTGTGTGTGTGTTTGTGTGTTTTGAATAGAATAAAAGCCAAAACCTTCCTTCAGTTGCCTCATGGTTAATAAGTAGAAATATATTGGGGAAAAAAATCTAAGTATAAAATGTTTTCTTCTCAATTTCGTAAAGTCTCCCCTCTCTTCAATCCATCTTCCACGTAGCTGCTAAAATAATTTTCCTAAAGCAAAGACCTGACCATGTCACCCTCCCATTCAAGAAGTTTCTGTGACTCCTTATTGCTTCTAAGATAAACTACAAACTCCCCAGCATAGCATTTCAAACCCTTCATAGTGAGGTTTCACACCTTTCCAGATATTTCCCATTACTTCCCTTCACACACCCAGCATTTCTAGTCAAAGTGGCTTGCTTGCTCTTTCATCTTCTGCTTGTGTTCCTTTTATTTTTTTTTTTTCGTTGTTGAGGCAATTGGGGCACTTGCCCAGGGACACACAGCTAGTAAGTGTCTGAGGTCACATTTGAACTCGGGTCCTCCTGACTCCAGGACCGGTGCTCTATCTACCATGCCACCTAGCTGCCCCTGCCTGTGTTCTTTTGCAAAGGCTCTCCCTCATTCCTGGAATCTACTTCTTTTTCACCTCTACCCTTAGAGTCCCTGGCTTCCCATCAAGACTCAGATTCTACTTTCCTACAGGAAGACTTTCCTGATTCTCCTGGTTGTTCCTCCTGTCCGTTACTAAATTATCTTGTTTTTACTTACCTGTGATATTCCCCAAGTAGAAGGTAAAGTCCTTATGGGCAGAGACTATTGAATTCTAGCTGAACTAGAGCTTACTTCATACTAATATTTGTGTCACCCTAGGCTGATTGCCTGAGCTTTGACCCAAGTTATCTGTCCACCTGGATTTTGGACCTTTTGCCCATCATAAAGTCTGATGCTCATCTATCTCTTAATCTGTGGCCTCCTTACCTGGATTTCTGATCTCTTATCTATTCCTGACCTTTGATAATTCATTGCATACTCTTCAATTCATTCCTTGACTTTCTGGATTCCTGAGTTATTACTTGTTCTGATATCTAACTGTTCTGATAACTGCTTGTTTTTCGTTACTATCTGGCCCTCTAAATCCTGGCACCTGACAACCTTCACCCTGCCAGTCTCCATATAAAAAGTAGTCCCATTGGCAACAAATCTTTGTCTCACAGAATTTCAGAGCTTGAAAGGCTGTCAGAGACCATCTAGTCCTTGTAAAAGATCATTTTGCAAATAAGGAGGGTGAGTCAGAGAGGTCAAGTGATTTGCCCACGGTCATTCAGCTAAGTAGGTTGCAGGGCTGGGATATGAACCCAGGTTTTCAGATTCCAAGGGCAGGGTTCTCTCACTCGATCACAGATCCCTAAGCTCCACATCCTACACACAGAAAATAAATAAAATAATGACCATCTTAGGGCTAACCCCATCCCATTTTATTTTCCCAGAGCTCAGTGCAATCAGAGACATTAATGAATTAGCTGGAAACTGTCTGCAAGCCAGTAGTTAGAATTTTTTGTACAAAAGTAAAAGAAAACTATACCATTCGTAGTGATCTCACTGCAACAATATCCAGGAATGATACTGCTCCAAAATCGAGGATCAGGCTGTGAATGGGGACTTTGGGAACATTCACTTTGACAGGAAGTTCTGAATTCCAGTCTACTCGGATCTCTATTTCCTTAGTTGGGATATTCAGGTCTTCAGGATCTTCAGGATCTTCATCAGGCTCAAAACCTTGATTAGTGGCACAGGCATCACTGACAACGCCATTCTAAACCAAGAAGACAATTCCAAGAACATTGTGTGTGAAATTGGGAATTTCTTTCCAAAGTTGGCTTCAAATAAACTTAAGATAATAGTAATAGTAATGACACTTTAAGCAAAAGCAAAATACGTTACATATATTATCTGATTTGACATTCACAAGTACCATTTGCCAGGCAAGTCAAAGCACTCAATCACTACCTTCCTACAAGAACCCAACAGAGACAGCTTAAGACCCTGAACTCATAAGCCTTGGTAATAGAATACCTCTAGACCATGGGTCCCTCCTTCCAGCCTGGGCACCACAGACCTTCCTTGCCACCACCACCACTAACTGTGGATGGTAGCACCTTCTTGGACCCTCAGTCCCACTTTTAGCCCAGCCATCATCTTGGGAAGCAAACCCTGTGGCAGGTTCTGGAGCCCAGCCTCCTCAGCAGCCACAGCCACTGAAGATCCAGAAAAGAAAATTCTTACCACCAAAGTCTTTAGCACTGTTGAATGGTTCTACATCAGAATGGATTTGATTTTATCAATAGAAATGATTTTTTAAAAAATGCTTTACCAATCACTTGGCCACTGGGCTCTAAGGACTATGTTACCTTTCCATTTGAGTGAAACCTTCTATGCATTGTCTCCTCCATTAGAAAATGAGCTTCTTGTGAGCAGGGACTATCTTACTTTAATTTGGGCCCCCAGTGCTTTGCACATAGTAAATCCTTAATAAGTATTTGTTGGTTCATTCATTCATTACTCCCATCTTACAAATGAGGAAACAGGCTACAACAGTAAATACCTCGCCTAGAGTCACATAGTTAGTAAATTGCCAAACGCAGCATTTGAACCTACATCCTCCTGAGTCCAAGCCCATGCCTCTATGTATTCTACCACTTTTTTTCTTTCATTCTATAAAGCTGAAGTTCCAAAAGAGAGATGACTATTATGTGGATATATGGTATCTTGGAAAGAACATTAGTTCAGGAGGCAAGAGACCTGGATCTTAATCTCAATTCTGCCCCAACCAGCTGGATGACCTTGGGCAAGACTCAGGACTTTCTTCATTTTTAACATTAGTAGATTCGATGAGACTGTATCTAATGTCTTGTCTAGCTCTAAAATTCTGTGATTCCAAGTAATACTCTCAATTAATTTATTTCACTAAATAGGCGTATGTTCTTCCTTAGAAGAACATAGAAAATGGAATAAAGTAAATTGAAAATAAAAAGTAGAAAAACACAGGTAATAGAAGTCAAGTTCACCTAAACCCAAACTCTGAGCCTTCTGCAGAAAGAAAAAATAAAGAGCAGTAGGGACAGACAGATTTAGAAGACCTTGTGCTAGACTTTACCAACAGAGACATCATTGAGATAATCAGCATAGAAATGAATGATCACAAAAGTCTGTGGACATCTTAGAATCATGGACCATTAGAGCGGGAAGGGAGCTGAGAAAATCCAATCCAACCCCACAATTTTTTAAAGATAAGGAAACTGAGAATCAGAGAGATAAAAATCACTTGCCCAACATCACACAACCAGTTTGTAGCAGAGCCTGGTGTAAAGCCTTGGTCTCCTTATTTCAAAGCCTGTGCTCTTATCCATTGTACCAGCTTATCCCACATCATGAGTGATTTTCTAATGCAGAAGTGGATTTATTTTTCTATCTTTGTATGCCTTCCATTAACAATAAAGTTTACAAAATGAAATGTATACTCTTTGTGATGGAAGATTTTACCCTAAATTCCTATGGAAATAATCTGTCTTCTTTCAAAACCTAAAAAGACTCAGCCCAGATATTCTGTTTGTCCATATGACCTGATTGTTAGCATCTGGGTGCCCAAATAGTTAGATGTCAATTTTAGGCATTCAACATACTTTCATAAAAGTGAAGGAAGAAGTGGGGAGAAGAAAGAAAAGTGCATCTTCACCTTTGTTGCTCGTAGCTGTCCCTTTTTAATGAGTTTCTGTATCTTCCTCAGTGCTTTTAGCCTCTTATTGTAAACTCGAACTGCATCAAACCCAACCTTTGAAAAGAAGTAAGTTACTTAAAACATCTGGATCATCATTTATACAAATTCAATTCAACAAGCATTTATTAAACACCTGTTGTATTCCAGACTCGGCTCCTTTCAAGGAGATCACATTCTACTGGGAGTGAGGAAAATGCAACAAATACACAGATAAGTAAATTAAAGATAGGAAAATAAATACAAAGTAACTGGAAGGCTCTAACAACTGGGAGAATCAGGAAAAGGTCTCTTCTAGAAGTTGGCACTTGTACTGAGCCATGAAGGAAGTTATGGTTTCATGAGGTAGGAGTGAGAAAAGAGATCATTTCAGGGATGGGGTTGATGGAGAGCAGGAGGGAAGAACTGCCTGTTTAAAGGTGCAGGGGTGGGAGATGGAATGTGTGTACAGTGAGTAGTCCAGTTTGACTAGACCACCCATCTGAGGGGGAGTGATGTGTAATCAGCCTGAAGAAATCAACTGGAAATAGATTGTGAAGGGCTTTAAATGCCAAAAAGATGGGTTTGCATTTATCCTAGAGATAATAAAGACTCACAGAAGCTTCATGAGGAAGGGAGTGACATGGTCAGTTCTATTTTTTAAGAATATCAACTGTATGGGGGATGGATTGGGAAAGGATTAGTTGAAGGAAGGCCAATTAGATTATTGTAATAATCAAAGTGAGATATAATAAGGACCTGAACTAGAGTGGTCGTGGTATGTGTGGAAAGAAGGGGGTGGATACAGGAGGCATGGAGTTAGGAGCAACAAAATGACACCTGACCTCAGTTTTGTATGTGTTGGATTTGAAATTCTAGGGCATTCAGGTGAAGACGTGAGTCTAGAGCTCAGACAAAGTGGGCTGAATATTTGGGAATCATTTGCATTGAGATTATAGTTGAACAAATTGTTCTATATTATTGTGATGAAATACTATTGTGCTATAAGAAATGACAAGCAGGATGCTCTCAGAAAAACTTCAAAAGACTTACATGAACAGATTCAAAGTGAAATGAACAAAAGCAGGAGAATATTATATACAGTAACAGCAATATTGTATGATGATCTATTGTGAATAAATAACTTAGCTATTCTTAGCAGTACCATGATCTAAGACAATTTTGAAGAGTTGATGATGAAAGGTGCTGTTCATCTCTAGAGAAAGAACTGGTGGAGCCTGAATGTTGATCAAAAATACTTTTTTTTAGTTTCTTTATTTTTTATGGGGTTTTTGTCTGTGTTTTCTTTCACAGCATGAATTACATGGAAATGTGTTTTGCATGACTGCACATGTATAACCTATGTCAAATTGCTTTCCTTCTCACTGGGGGGGAGTGAGAGAGGGGAGAAGAGAATTTGGAACTCAAAATTTGAAAAAATGTTAAAATTGTTTTTACATGTAATTGAGGAAAAAATTAAATATTCAATTTAAAAAGAGATTATAGTTGAATTCATGGGAGCTTCTGAGATCAAAAGGAGAGATAGTTCTGAAGGAGTCAATAGTGAATAGAAAAAAGAGAAGATCTAGGATATAGCTGGGGGTGATGGGAGGGTGATATGGATTATGATCCTAAAAAAGTCTGCAAAGGGATGCTTCAAAAGGTAAGAAGAGAACCCTAACAAAGCAGTGTCATGAAACCCAGAAAGGATCCAGAAAAAAAGAAGGCAGATAGTCAACACTGTCATGCTACTGAAGTCAAGAATGATGAGGCCTGAAAAAAGGTCATTAGATTTAACAATAAAGAGACCATTGGGTGACCCTGAAGAGAACAGTTTTACAAAGAAGCAAGGATGGAAACCAGAATGCAAGAGGTTGAGGAGTAGGAAGTGAGAAAGTAGAAATGAAGAGTACGGATAGCTTTTTCTAAGAGTTTGGCTGAGAAAGAGAACAGAAAATTAGGATGATAGCTTGAGAGGATGGTAGAACCAAGTGAATTTTTTTTTTTCTTTGTTTTTTTAAAGAATGGAAAAGATGTGGAAACGTTTAAAGGAAGAAAGGAAAGAGCCAGGGGATAAGGAGAGGGTGAAAATTAAAGAGGGAGCATGTTCAAAGGGGCAAGATGTCTTATACTATTTAACTTTGAGATTATTTAAATTTTCATTATCTGTATGTCTTACCTCCTCAATCAAATGATATTGCTTGAGGGTAGGGACTTCGTGTTGTTACATTTTTTAACGACCACTACAATGTCATGCACAAAGTATACACTAAATGTATGTTTGATAAATGACCAGTCAAAGAAAATTAAATAAATTTCCAATGATGCACTACTTACTGTGGACTTGAGACATTTTTTAAAGCCATCGATATTGCCATAAAAAATAGGACTATAAAAGCTAACAATCTTCACTCCTTCGGGTTCATCGACCTGCAGTTTGGAGAGGAAAGTATTTCTGCAATTAATTTCAAGCCTCATGCATTTAATTTTAAAAGCTGCAGGGACTTTGAAGAGCAATCCTTCACAAGTACTCTAGAGCTTGGCAACTAACTTTCATTTCCGTGTATTGGACATTTTCAATTTTGTGTTTTGACAAAGATTTTAGTCTGCAATACAGCTAACTCTTGACTGTGTCAAAAATCTTTTAAAAAAAATTTTTTTAACCAGCAATAAATAGTATGACTCCCATTGGAGAGATGAAGAAATTAAATCCTAGTGACATTGTAGGAGTCTTTTACTTACCATGGGTCACAATGCAACATAATTGAAGAACCAAAAGCAATATTTCTAGAATCATGGAATCTCAGAGCTTAAAGAAGGACTTTAGAGTTCATCTAGTAGAAATCTTCTGATTTTACAGATCAGGAAACAGAATCATAAAACTGAAGAGCTAGATGCAACCTTAGCAGTCATCAAATTGACTCCAAAGCCAAAAGGAATCCCCACTATAATGAACCGGACAGACTAGTGATCTTCTAGCTTCTACTTGAAGGCCTCCAAAGCACAAGTAACTCACTATATCTTAAGGCCACTCATTCTACTCTGGGCAGTTCTAGTTCTGAAATTTTTCATAGTGTCAAGACTAAACTGGCATCTTTACAACTTCTACCCATTGCCTATGGAGACCCAGGGAAGGTAAGTGATTTAGTCAAGATCACTCAGCTAGTCGATAAATAGCAGAACTGGTACTAAAACATGGGCCTCCTAACTCCAGTTCTTTGTCTCATCAGACCATACAGCCTACAAATCATAGGGTCTCTCCAAATCAAAAGCACCCTGGACATCCCCTTTAAAAAATTCCTAAGAATGTTTGTTGGGAAGAGATAGGAATCAAAGTTATTCAACTGGAAGAAGTTACCTGAAGTTCATGCCTAGAGCCTTGGTGAAAGGAAGCAGCCTGTGAAAGTATTCATCCCACAAACCCAAACCTAGAACAATGATGGAGAAGGTCACAGGGACTTACATTCTTGTAATCCTTGGTGCTTTTGTAGAGGTCTGTGCCAGGGACATTTCCAAGGTTATTCCATGAGGGACTAAGAAAAAGGAAACTGTGGTCAGGGTACTTTGTCATAGGCAAATTTTGGAATGGAACATTTACTAGCCAGCCCTTAAATCCAGGCACTGAAGAGCTCATTTTTTGATGTTATTGAAGATTCACACTTGGCTGCTGAAGGTTGAAGCTTTTCCTTATCTCTTAACTCTGAATCAGATACCTGGTGTGAAAGTATAAGGCCAGGGAGATACAGCTTTTTATGACTGAGAGAAAGAATGGATTCCATTTTATGCTGTTATATATACTTCAGTGGCACCACTTTAAGTCAACCTCAGATGCTTTGTGGCGGTAAGCATGGAAGATGGGGGTTCTTAAAGCTTCTTCCATTAGAGAGCAAGCTCTGGCAAACCACAGAAAGGTAGGATCACGAATTTAGAGCTGAAAGTGCCCTTAGAAGTCATCCAGCCCAACCACCTCATTTTACAGATGAGGGAACTGGCACCAAGGGAAGTGACTTCACGAACAACTAATTAGAGTTTGAGAAAGGATTCAAAGCCATGTCTTAGTGACTTTAGGTCTAAGGCCTCTACACTACACCGTGTGCTTCTTAGCCCTATTAAAACAGAAGGGTTTTGAGGATGGGACTAGCAATGTATTGCGTCTGTCCTTTGAAGTCTAGCCTAATTAAGTCAGAAAACAGAAGGTTGGCCAACAGATGATTTTTTTTTAACATGGCAATATGACCACTCATTAATCACAGAGGGCCTATAATCTGTTGGTGGCACAAGTACTCACAGTGATAAAATCACATATCTTTCAAAGTGTGTTTGGATAAATTATATTAGCATTTAAATAGCACTTTAAGTCTTGCAAAGCACTTTATAATTATTATTTCATTTTATCCTCACAGTATCGTGGGAGGTAGGAGGTATTATCATTCCCATTTTACAGAAAACTGAGGCTTAGAGAGGTTAAATGACTTGTCCAGGGTCACAGAGGCCAGACTTGAGCTCAGGTTTTCCTGACTCTCCGCTGGGCCACCTATTTATCACTTAAAGGTTTGTGAAATGCTTTACATATGTTAACTCATTTGATCCTTAAAATAACCCTGTGAATTAGTGGTATTATTATCTCCATTTACAGATGAGAAAACTGAGGAAGAGAGAAAAGTTTGAAAAGTATCGATGGCAGTGCCATCTACCTACAACATTCTTCCTGTCCCTTTGTGCAGACTACCTGGCCTTGACCTGCCTGGGTCACAAGCTGCACAACCTAGATCAGGTCCTTTTGGCTCTTCTCATCTTGTTTCTTCATCCATAAAATGAGGGACTGGAACTAGCTCACCTCTTCCAGAGTTAGATGTATGAGTCTTCTGCTTCTCCGAGTACTCTCTTTCTTTCCAGACTCAGCTTAACTTTTCCCTCTTTTCCCACTCACTTCAGGCTGATTGCTCTCTCCTGTGAGCTCCCATGGCACTTTTTGCCCCTAAAATCTCCTTGCCACTTAGCACATGCTACCTTATGTTGTTTCTTTGTCTTTTTTTTTTTAGATGTCTAGATCTAAACATCTTTTAGATGTTTTTGGTCTAAAACCAAAAAGAAACTTACTGGTCATTTAGTCCAAACCTTTCATTTTATTAGATGAGGAACTTGAGCCCGGAAAGGTGAAGCCACTTAGCCAAAGTCACACAGGGTAGCTAGCAAATGACAGAGCTGGAATTTAAGCTTGACTCCTCTAATCTCTTTCCATTGCACTTTGCTGCTTCCTCTGACTCGAAATCCAGCATCTTTTCCATGTGACGTGGCTGCCTCCTCAAAGAGTCTACAAACTTTGTAAAGGCAGGGACCTCATGCAGTCCCCCAAATGAAGACTATCAGAGCATAAAGCAGCCTTAAATGTTATCTATTCCAACCTGTCTGTTTACTGAGAAAGAATCAGATAAAGAGAATTGCTGAAGGTCAGCTACTTAGGCCTTGCCTCCTCAGCACTCAACACCTTTCACTTGCTTTGTACTCAATAAAGATTTATTATTGTAAGTGATAATCATTGTGTCTGATCATTTCCTTGAGCTAAAAATAGTTGACTTTTTAATCCCATCCTTATTATGTATCACGCCTATTTTTACTGAAATGAAGCCATTCCTTCAACTAATGCCCTCCCTCTCTCCCAAACCACCTTATATTTAACGATTTTGCACTTATTTGTGTTTATTCTTTTTATATTTCCATTATATTTGCTGTATTCCCCTATTAGAAGGTAAGCTTCTTGCAAATTGGGATTGTTTTATTCTTTGTACTTGTATCCTCAGGACCCAGCACAGCGCTTGGCACATAACTGGTTGGTTGTTTGCTTGCTTCCTTGAAGTAGGAGGCCTGGGAGGGCCACAAACAGACTTCCAGACCTTCTACTTCTAGTCTTTCTTTCTATCAGCTGGACTATGGATGTTCTGAACCTTTCACTGTCAGATAAATTCCATGAGTTGTCATGTGTGACGAGAAACAGATAGTAAATAGAATTCCCAAAGAAAGAGGATTCTGTTTTGGGTTCTTTCAACAATGGACTCAGTGGATCAGCATTATAATTAGTGGAAATTAAATCCCAAGTCAAAGAAAGGTACTGCTCCTTACTGGCTAAAAGCCCAGGTCCAGATCAGCAGTGACCATGTACCATGAGTTTCCCTTTCAGTTCACTCTGTTCCATAGTAGCAATCTCTTAGCTTGAAGCCCATGATAAAATTAAATTACCAAGAAAAAAAAAATAAAGGAAAAATCAAGGCAAATTATGGAGGCCCAGAATCCTAAAGCCAGATTCTTCCTAAGTTGGTCCCTGAGATATCCCTCAACAGCGAATTAGATGATGCTCTTGGAGGCACACGAACTCTTTGAGGCCCCTAAGCAACCATTTAGTGCACTACAGTAGTAAACATTCTGTGCTTAGAGGAGGCTTTGGAGCACTAGGTAGAGGAAGCACACCAGGCCTGGACAGATGGAAGAGGCGGGGACTGGGCCAGAGACATTCGACAGTAGCCTTGGCCACCAGCATAAGTTGAGGAAGATCAAGAGAGGCAAGCATATGGGAGATAATGGGAAGCCTGTTTTTATGGGAGAATTTGATGCAAGAAGAGGTGTCTCCCCTTTAAGCCCAGGAGAGCATACGTTTAACAGTCTCTTGGAACCAAAGGAAAGAGATGAGCCCTATGTCCTTTACCTTTTCCTCAACAGATTTTATTTTCCATTACCCTCGCCTTCTGTGATGCTCTCTTCTGAACTCTCTCCAAGTATGTACACTTTACATAAACACACCGCTTGTACTGGCAGTGAATTAGTTGTAACAGGTTTGGCAGAATTGAACAAATGAATTTTTTGCCCTCTTTTAGCTTATGTCCCCAACCCTTCTTCAAAATCCTGCTGCTCTCCATTGCATAGCTAGGAACGTGCCAAGAAGAGACCACAAACTACATCCCATCCCTTTTACGTTAGGCCTCCTCTAGTTTCCTGGGCACTGCAGACAGCACTTCATGAGAAGTCGCTTCTCTAGTATTTATCAAAACACCATAGGAATCATTTTAAGGTTCATAGAAAAACTTCTCTCTCGTGTTACTCACAACTGAACTCTCAGGACCACAGTCAGTAATCCAAACAGAAGGCCAGCAAGCAATCCCAGGTCAAGACCCAGAATGATGGATGCTATGCATGTAAACACCCAGATGACCTAGGGGAGCACATGAAAGCAGAGATGTTATAACCCAGCTATTAAAGGGAAAATGAATCCAGTCTGGGGGAGAGAAAATAACAAAATCAATTCCAGAACAGTATGAACATTAAGGAGCAACTCCACCCATGTGCATGCAGACAGCCCCATTACTGCTGATCTTGTCCTGGTTTTTCTCTCGCTTTTGGATTATTTGCATGAAATGGGAAGTAGCGCTTCAAAGGAAGCATTCCCAATCATTGTTTGAATTACAGCATAACTTAAAAGGATTCAGGTTTTAAAATCATTCTCATAGTAGCTGAGGTCATTTTGGAGTTGTAATTAGGATGCCTTTTTTACCTCCTGGTGTCAGATTTATGGCTGTTTAGAGCTCAGAGTTTCTGTGTCTTATACAAAGCTCCCAATGGAAATAGATTTTTCCCAGGGAACTCAATTTAATATGTATACAGGGAACATCACAAAAATACAGCATGCATGAGACATTTCACTGCTTTTGGTTTAGCCTTACTATTTTTGATTTGAATACTGGGCTTTCCAGGTAGCTGGTACAACTTAGTATGGAGGGGATACTCATACCCCAGATTAGTTTCAGAGGAAATGGGCAACCTGGGACTTACAGCATCAATCTTATTCTGTCTCCACAGACGAGGAACATCACGCACTTGCATAAACATTCCTTTCAGGTTGGCAATGACAACAGCAGCCAAGACAGACTGCCAAGAGAGACAGGGAAGGCTATGTTATTCACTGAAATGATTTTTCCCTGGGATGATTTTTAAATCTCTTGTTATTTCTTTCTTGTTGCAGACCAGTGCCAGGAAAATTGTGCCAAAAAGCAGAGTCATACCTTTTGCAAGGGTTCTAGCAGCTTCCCCAAAGCCACAATTGCAATCATTACAATCAGGGCTGAGATAATGCCAGCAACCTGAAAAAAGAGTGTTCACGTAAATATCTGTGGTTTGCTTTTTCTGCTTGGTTTCCAAGCTCACCATAGACAACAGCCTTGGGAGATGCCTTCTGGGCATCGTTCTAGACAAGGAAGCTATTTTATAAGCACTGAATGACAATAATGCTTTTCTCCTCTTTACCTTTTCTTCCCCACATACCAATACTATTAGAGGGGATGATGATTGTTGCTATTACGCACAAAACACAGAGGGAGGAAAGAAATAAGTATGTCACTTGGGCAGAGAAGCTACAGTAACTACAGAAACTGAGAAATATCGAGGTCAAGTCAGATTTCATATTGAGAAAATGGATAATTTTCTTAGATATCCTACAGGATTCATAGTCCGTTCTGTTTGCAATAATCTCTAATCCAGAACTTCAAGGTACTTTCTCCAGATTCCTAAATGGACAAAAGATTATTTGTAATGTCAGAAGTACTTTACACCAGATTCATCTATTCATTGCAGTTTTTGTCTTTGTCTCTCTGGTGCCCAGCACAGAGCCTTGGCCAATATAGGCAGTTAGTAAATATTGGATAAAGTGAATGGAAAATTAAGATAATAAAAGCAATAATAACAATACTTAGAGACCCAGAGTGGCACAGTGGACCAGTCTTGGAATGAGAAAGACCTAGGTTCAAGTCCTCCCTCCAACAAGTGACATGATGCAGTAGAAAGAGCACTGATTTTGGAGTTGGAGGACTTAGATTCAAATCTCACTTACTACCTGTGTGACTTTGGTCAAGTCGCTTATCTTCCTTAGGCCTCAGTCTCCTCAACTATGAAATGAAGGGAAGGTCTTTTCCAGGCATAGGTAGGTGATTCTACAGCTAGTTAAACTATTGGCTAAATGACCATAAGCAAGTCGCTTTACAACTCTAAGACCCACAAATTGTCAATCTTCATCATTGAAGGGAGAATTGATTATAGGATTATAGATTTAGAGCTGCAGGTGACCTCAGGGATGATCTGGTCTGACACCCTCATTTTACAGATAAAAAATTGAGGCACCAAGGGGTGAAGCAACTTGCCCATGGTCACATGGTGTTAGAAATGAGATTTGAATCCTACTTCTTTTACACCAAATCCCATACTCCTTCAACCAAACCATGCCTACATGTTAGGAGTTCCTTCACACCGATGAAATCATAAATCTGGACATCATCACCATCACCATCATTACCATCATCTTCATCACAACAATAATAAAACTTCACACTTTATGGAACAATTTCTTCTTTCTAATCTACTCAAGCTAATAAAAAAATATTTATTTACAAACCATATTACGGATACAAAGAGCCCTGCATCTTTTGTTTGTAACCTTGAGGAGGGCACATGTCTCCTACTTCTTCTGGGCTATCTCATGGTGGCTTTTAGTGTGCCTTCACCACATAGTAACCATGCTATGGACTCATGAATTTTACCAGGGCTCTTGTAATATACACTCCAAAAGCTTTACCTTTTCTGTCATGAAAAGCTCTCTTAAGGTCGAAAAAGGGTTGGAAGAGAAGCTGAGAACATAGGAGCAGGTGGAAGCCACCAGTTTAGACAGCCGGGCCTAAACAGAGGTGAACAATAGAAAGTCTGAAAGAAAAGGAGACAGGAGAACTAGATGCTGAAGCAATTAAAAGAGAAGAAGTCAGAAAGGTCCATCTACTTCTGGGTTTTCACATTAAAAGAGAAAAGCAGCAAACCTGGGAATATTCTGAGCAAACCACTCAGATATTCTACTGGCACAGTTTGTGCTAGAGTCAAACTTAGGGCCCTTTCAATACACTATTATGCATGTTATGAATCAGGCAAAGTCTGTCTTCAGTACCACCACCAGTCTTGTGTGCTTTTATCCCCTCTGTTGAATCCCTAGGACTTCATGCTTTTTCATTTAGTCTCCCCTTCCTCCTCCTCCTCCTCCTCCTCCCTCCTCCTCCTCTTTTTCAGGAAAGGATGTGTCAGTCATTTGTATCTTAGAATGAATTTGAACTCATGAGATACTTCCCCCAGGCATTTGAGGATTTCAGCCTTCTCTCTAGTTAGAGGGAGCCAGATGAGACACAGTGAATAGAAGGCTGGGCCTGGAGTCAGGAAACCCTCAATTCAAATGTGGCCTCAGAAACTTACTAGCTGTGTGTCCCTAGACAAGTCATTTAACCTCTGTCTGCCTCGATTTCCTCAATTGTAAAACAAAAAGATAATAATAGCACCTACTTCTCAGGGTTGTTATGAGAATTAAATGAGATGATATTTCTGAAGTATTTAGCAAAGTGCCTGGCACATAAAAGGCACTTAATAAATGTTTGTTTCCTTCCTAATTATTTTAAGGTTTTGTCTCTTGCTAAATGAATTGCAAACATCAGCTGACAGGTAAGAGAAGTGGGTTTTGGAGGGGGGAAGGGTGTGAAGGAAGGAACCTCTCAAATGTCCCCAAAATCACACTGTGTAGGAAGCTTCCCGTCCATAAGGGCAATTCTTCTTGTAAGAAAGGTGCATTTATTGATTCCATTATCTATGTACTTTCTGATAGGAAGGTAGGGTAGTAAAAATGTGTGATGGTTGATAAATTAACTATACTTGGCAGAGTTTGTTTGAAGAAATTGAGATCTATCTAGAAACCAAGTTAATTGTTAAGAAATTAGACCAATATTTATTTAAGTTAAATGAGATAACATATATGAAGGACTTTAAAAACTTTAAAGCACTATAGAAATGCTAGACATTATTATTATTATTATTATTATCATCATAGCACTCATAGCTAGGAAGAACAACATGAATACAAAAGGTTTTTGTCCTAAGTCATCTGGGAAGGTAAAATCAGAGAGAACAGAATACAAACGGGAGAGAAAGAAATGAATTTTGAATGCTCAACTATATTATACAATATATCAATACCCCACACTGGTTAAAATCCATCAACAATGGAGAATATACATAGCTTAGTGGATAAAGCCCTGGACATGGAGTCAGAAGACCTGGGATGAATTCTATATCAAATATTTACTAACCATATGATCATGGGAAAGGCATTTAATCTCTAGAGCATCAGTTTCTTCATCTGAAAAACAGGGATAATAAAATTTGGACTGTCTACCTCTCAGTGGTTATTGTGAGGAAAGAGCTTAGCAAACCTTAAAACTGCTATGTAAATGTGAATTCTTATTAACAATTAACAAATTAGATTGGATTTGTGTGTATATATCTGTTCTCTACCTACATTTTGGACTTTCGTTTTGTTTTTAACTGATGGCTGCTGATGTCAAACGAATGTTAAGCAGTACCCAAAAACTTGGCAAAAGTGATAATTATACTTTTGTTAATTCTTGTTCCAAAGGGCAATTGAGTGTTTCACTAAATTATCTTTTGACATTCTAAGAACGCTCAATGATACAACAGTCAGATAACCTAACCATTAGATTTGAGAATAGAAATGTAAACACAGGCACACTCATGAGATATGCAGATTGCTGATGGACATTAGTTCTTTAGACAAACCTAAGCCAAGCTGGGACATGATTTATATAAAAAATTCAAATAAACTGTTGAGTAGCTCAGGCCCAACAAAGAAAGGCCCAGTTTTGAGGGGTGCTGTTACAGGAGATACAAAGTCACACAGCCGTGGAGAGAACTGCTAGTCCCTTTGAGTCATGGTCTACTGGGTTCTAGTCCATGCATTCAGCCTTTAAACCTCAGAACTTAGTGTATATTTCAGTAATTAAATCTTGAACAATATCTCAGCTTGTTTCATTCCTCATTCCTAGAATCTTGGCCTTTTCCATTGCTAAATATAATACATGCCTGTGTGTGGAAGGGGATATCAGCTTACAAGAACACTATTATCTCACAGGACTCTTGCCAAGGGAGGGTAGTTTACCCAAGACATTATTATTGGAGACAGCTACTCAAAGTCTCATTTGAGCCTAGAAGTAACAGCCAGTGAGTAAAAGTCAGCAATTTTGGCTTCACTATCAGTTAACTGTTTTAGTTCTTCTGAAACGTGATGTCCTGGAATTGTATGTAATAAAAGACCTGGTTGTGTAGCACAAGTCACAAAAAATACTGTAGGAACATAGGACCATAGATTTAAAGCTAGAAAAGACCTCAAAGGCTATATAACTCCCTTATTTTAAAGAAGAGGAAACTGAGATACAAGGAAATTAACTAAGTGACTTGCCCAAGGTGTAGAAGACCATGTCACTGTAAAATTAGGGCAATTTTAATCCATTAAAGTCAGGATTGGATTTGAACCCAGGACCTCTCTTCAGAAGGAGTATAAATTAGTATATGGCTCAAAGTAGTCAAAGAAGGTTTTATAGAGGAGGTGAGAGGAAAGGGAGGGTTTGATTTCAATAGAAACAAGAGAAAGGTATTTTGGGGTCAGAGTACCAAAGGATTTAGAGCCTGAAGGGATCTTAGAGATAACCTGTTCCAACACCTTCATTTTAGAGAGGGAGTTACAGAAGTCCTGGAAAGGGAAATGACTTGGCCAAGGTCATAGAGCTAGTAAATAGCAGAGGCAGGGCACCATCTTTTTAGACTGACTTCATTGTTCCCTCTCATTCCTCTGTAGTCCAGAAAAAGGAGAGGGACTGCAATTCCCTGGACCCAGCCTGCCTTCTTTCGCCTCTATACCCTTGCTTCTCCATGTTTTTCCTCTTCACTTCCACTTCTTGGAATCCCTAACTCTCCTCAAGACCCAACCTAAGGAGCCACTTCCTACAAAAGGCCATTTCTGATTCCCCCAGCTGTTAGGGCTCTTCCCCAACCCAGAGACTACTTAATATTACTTTATATATATTTTGCTTTTGCATATCTGTGGATACGGTTTTCCCCCAATAGAATATAAGCTCCTTGAGGACAGGAACTTAATTTAATTTTTGTTTTTGTTGCCACATGCAGATGTGTGTCCTATTTAGTAATGCCTAGCATTACAAATCCTCCCTTTGGGGAGAAGCTCTTCCCAGTCAGTGCCTTCGCTCTGAGATCAACCCCACTTTATTCTGTGTATATCTTGTTTGTACGTAGCTGTTTGCATGTTGTCTTCCCCATTAGACTATGAGCTCCATGAGAGCAGGGACTGTTTTTGCCATCTGTTGTATCCCTAATGCTTAGCACAGCACCTGGCACAGAGTAGGTGTTTAAGAAATTATTGCTGACCTGCCTTTTGTGTGACCTTTTGGCAGTTCACTTCACCCTTCTAAGACTCAATTTTCTCAGCTGTAAAATGAGAGGGCTTTTAGTTTCACAGAACAAATCCTTTTATTAAAGGGATTTGTTCTGTGAAGTTTGGATTCAGTCAAAGGGTTGCACTTGAGGACCTAGACGGCTACATGTAGCCTCTAGGGCGCTGGTTTCCCACTGCCCCCCCCCCACAACTAGACCATGAAATGTTTCTACCAACCCTCCTTCCCACAGATAGTTGTTATTGTTCAGTCAATTTTTTAGTTGTATCCAACTTTTCCTGACTCATTTGGGGTTTTCTTGGCAAAAATACTGAAATGGTTTGCCATTTCCTGCTCTAGCCTATTTCACAGATGAGGAGACTGAGGCTAACAGAGTTAAGTGACTTGTCCAGGGTCACACCGTGCATTTCTGAGGCTAGACTTGAACTCAGGTCTTCCTGATCCCAGTCAGGAGTTCTATCCACTGCACCACCTAGCTGCTCCAGCCATAGATAGTACAGAAGTAAATAAGAAATAACATCTTTCCTAACTGGTGTAGTATCAACTAATTATTGGCCCAGCACAGTCAAGGAAGTGTCTAAGCAAGGTAATCCTTAAACCAGAAGACCCCAGAACAATTGCATTATTAAACCATAAACTCTTTATCAGTTCTAAGTGTGGGGGCAAGGAAGGTGGACAGACAACTTTAACAGAACCAGGACGTGAAGTTCTCCCCAAAAAGATTAATTGTTCTGTTCCCTTGAGGTTGGTGCTTGGCTTGAATTTGCTCTTTGTGATAATAAATGGAAACTCTTGCATTTCCCAGGCTGAGGTCTCGTTACCTGTGTTTTTCCCCCGGTGCTTTCTTGAACAGCAGTGCGTGACAGAGCAGTGGTAGCCACAAAACAGGAGAAGAATCCAGAAAAGATATTGCTGATCCCAAAGGCAATAAATTCCTAGGAGAAAGACTGGTAAGAAGAAGCCAAATGCCTCATCCCTTTCCTACTCCTCTAGTCTCCCAAGTTTACTTTGAAAAATCTCTAGCTTTAAGAAAAAACCCAAAAAACAAAAAAAAAAGATTCCATTTGAACACAGCAGTTACTTAAGGTACTACCTCCCCCACCGCCATCGTACGTCCCACAAAAAACAGTTCTGCAAAACTATTTGAATGTTTGCAACTGATAATACATGCCATTTTCCATTGAAGTCATTTTTAATGATAGATGCCATAGATGGAAGTATCTGAAAAGCCGCAAGATGCCTGGAGTTTGGACTGAATTAGTACCTGAGAAAAGCCTCCCAACTTTCAATTATTTTTAAGGTTAGAAATCTGAAATGATGGGCAGTAACTGACCCTGTGCTGAAATAGCTCTTTCATTGCCCTGGTTTTAGGCTATTACAAGTCACTCATCTCATTTTCAGTAAGCTATTAGCATACCAGCAGCTTTCATTTCTGTTGTTATCTGTTGCTGAAGACTTGCCATGGACTGTATTATGACAGAAAGGTCTAGAATTCTGGGTGATCACCTGTCATTCAACTGTTCTCATTGCTCTGCTGTCTTCTCAGAAACATGCACTACTTGTAGACAGTTTTGTAGTTTTCAAAAAAGGAGCTTTCAGCCCTAGGACTGTCTAACTGCCCTACTCCAACCAAATGAAGTGCACATTTAGAGACTTTCATTTTAAATCTTATCTGATATTACCAGAAATTGCTACATTGGAAATACTGCTTATTAAAAAAACACACTTTGAGAAGATTTTTGAGTTATATAAAGCATTCACAGTTCTTTGCCAAAGAAATGTTAAATGTGTATATTATTCATGATCTGACTGCATAAATGCTTTTTAAAAAATCAGGTGTGCCCCAAAGAGAGGCAATGTGGATTTAGTGAATTGAGAGGTGGTCTTGGAGTAAGGAAGATAGAGGTTCAAATCCCACCTTCCACACATACTGGTCGTATAACCCTGGACACTTTGCCTAATTTCCCTGTGTTCCAGCCAACTCTCTAAGACTGTAAGTTTCAGAACAGGTGCTGGTTTGATCTAGTAATCAGACTTTTCTCATGAGAAATTCCCTGCACCCATGAAATCACAGACTCAGTTCACACCACTCAAGAAAAAAAATCTTGGAAAGTGTATAGTGATATAATAATATCCACATTACTCCTCAAAATTATCCCAAATTGATAAGTATTTGGGTAACTTTAACAGAGAATCAGTGTAGTAATAATAGCATTCTTTTTTTGTTTGTTTAGGCAATTGGGGTTAAGTGACTTGCCCAGGGTCACACAGCTAGTACACATCAAGTGTTTGGTCTGAGGCCCAGGGTCACACAGCTAGTACACATCAAGTGTTTGGTCTGAGGCCAGATTTGAACTCAGGTCCTCCTGATTTCAGTGCCGGTGCTCTATCCACTGCACCACCTAGCTGCCCCAATAGTATTCTTATCGAAGAGGCAGATTCAGCTTTCAGCAAATGCCAAACTCTTCCCAGGTTTGAATTTTTCTACCTTGGCAGAACTTTAAAAAGGACAGGATACTTGGGCCATTGCCTCAAGATGCTGAATTTGGAGAGCACCAGATTCAGAAGGTGCTGATGGCACTTTTAGTCCTTCACCAATATGGCGTTTAATCAGTTTAGCACCTAGTTAGTCAAATTAATTAGTCAAAATAGGAAGCTACCATCCCCTGACCTTTGAGGCAGTTTCCTCAGTAGCAGAACCTTGGTGTCCTAGAGTCTCTGCCTCTACCACCTCCCAGGGAACAAACTGCCTTCCCTGACCCCCTACCCTATTAAAACAAGGACATGCTTCCTGGTACTTGGCCTGGTGTAGTTTATGGCCCATGTCCTAGGCACAAAAATTCCTAGTTACAGCTCTGCTCAAAGGTCCAATCCTGTAAGATAGTTTTGCAACAGGGGTGAACCTACCTGGTTCCCATCAATGGCGTAATCATACTTGGTAGCATAGACTTTCCCTACAGACACAGCAATTGCATAGGCCACCACAGCAATGGAAAATGAAGCAGCAACCATCTGAGAAAACAAGTTTACTGATGGAAGAGCAGGGGGCAAAAACCTATTGGGTTTTAAAAAAAGAAAAAGCATTCATCATACTTGCCTACAATCGACGGTATCTCTTTGACTTGCCAAATGTTATATAAACTCACATGCACACTATATGTAAAAGTATAATAACTCAAACAAAGATAATATGGAAATGTAGAATATTCTAACAACAAACTGTATCTTATTCACATAATTTTTATTGTTATTGCTTTCCACAAAGGCTTATTTCTTTAAGGTTAAACCTAAGTTCTTTTGGGATCCTCAAAGGCAGTAGTCTTCTTTGTACCTCTGAAAAAAAACAAAATCTGAATTTTGTAAACTTTATTAATAATAGCTCACATTTACATAGTGCTCTAAGGTCTACAAACTACTTTTTTTCACAACAGCCCTTTGCGAAATATAGTATTACTATCCCCATTTGAGATATGAGGAAACTGAGGCTAAGAAACAGGAAGTAACCTGTCCATGTCCAAAGAGGTAGTAAATGTCAGAGCTAGTATTTGAAACCCAAATCTCCTGAGACAGAGAAGTGGTACAGTAGATAAATCACCAGGGTTGGAGTCAGGAAGACTCCTTTTCCCGAGTTTAAATCTGGTCTCAGACATCTACAAGCTGTGTGACTTTGGGCAAGTCACTTAGCTCTAATTGCCTCAGTCTCCTCATCTGAAAAATAATCTGGAGAAGGAAATGGCAAATCACTCCAGTATCTTTGCCAAGAAAACTCCAAACACAGTTACAAAGAGTTGGGAACAATTGAACAGTAACTCCTAACTGTAAATCTAATGCTCTTTCCATGACACCATTAGGTCCCATGTCAACCTATTTCATATACTTGTGCCTTCTGGGAAAATCCTTTTTCCTGAATTTTCTTTATCTGAATTTACTCTTTTCCTGAATTTTCACTACCACCACCCTGGCACAGGCCTTTATCAACTCACTTATTTAATATGCACTTCTAAAACATGACTTGAGGTACTTAATTTATGTGTAGAGAGTTAGAATGACTGAGAAGAGAAAGACTATAGATACTGAGATGCCTAGGTAAGAAATTCATGGCTTTGTGAAGATCCATATCATGGCCCAAGTGTTTCAGAGATTAAAGGAGATTACGGTTGTTTGTTTGCTTTTATCAGTTTTATACTACACTATCTTCAAGGCAAAGAAAATACCACATTTGCTGTGAGATCACAGGCTAAATTACTAGGCCCCAGAGATTTGCACCTAGATGCCAGCCTGGATCTTTGCTCTACACAAAGAGAGAAACTTAGATATGGAATTTGCAGAAATGACCTAACATTCAAGCAGAAGAGGCAGTCACCTACATAGTGTCATATGGGAGATACCTGAAAGGGATTTCAGCCTTAAATAGCGTCTGTCTCATCTAATCTAATCACTGAAATTCCATTAAAGAAATCATCCTACAATCAGAAAGATTATTGTTTGTTGTTGTTTGTCCTTTTTTTTAAACAAAGGAATAAGGAATTTCACAACCAAGGCTCACATAAGCCCTAATAATCATATTTGTTGTTGTTATTGGTCCTTTGATTCTCAGAGAGGACCAATGACATCAGGAGGGTGACAGGAGGGTGCCATCTTGACTTGCAAATGAATTGGATTTGAGTGAAGCAGAGCTGTGCAGTCATCAGCCTCTCATTCTTGGCCATAGTTGTTGGAGTCCAGTAGCAAGACATAGGTCAGGACAACTGGCAATGGTCCAGGATGCACTGGGAAGGTCTTCCCCTCCTTGACTGATTTCTTTTGTGAAGGCAAAGGAGGCGTCTTTTATCTCAATTCTTACTTAACCTTTAATTACTGCATGGGTGTTGCCTCAGGAAAATTGAGAAAGACTTTAGTTTGAAAAGGCCAAGGTCTCCTACTGCAATTAGAGTAAGCTCAAAATGAAAGTACCCCTAAGAAAGATAATATGCCAATTTAAACTTGTTCACACTAAGATATGAATGATTGGTAATCAGGTCATATCCTGAAAGGAAGTTTTAACAGAGAGAACTAAGGGCTTTAGGGACCTGGAGAATGAGTTGCAGAAAGGTTACACCAAGGAAGAGAGAAAATGATCCAGGATGGGAAGCACATAACTTACTCCTAGGAAAATATGATCCTTGGGAGTCACCTGATTAAAATCCCTGCTGACGCTTCCCTCTGGCCTACGAGCCTGCTGATATCTCCCCAATTCTTAAAAAACCTTTATTTGATCCACTCATACTGATAGTTATCGATCTCAATCTCATATCGATCTCAATCTCATCTCCCTTTGGTGGCTACATTCTTTGAGAAGGTCATCTACCATCAGTGCTTCCCACTTCCTTTCTTTTTACTGCCTTCTGATTCTACATTCTGGCTCCTGACCTCATTATTCCTCTGAAACTTCTCACTCCAAAGTTAGTGATGATCCCTTCATTGCTAAAACTGATGGCTTTTCCTCACTTCTTGACTTCTCTGCAGCCTTTTACCCCTTTGATCAACCTTGTCTTCTTGATACTCTCTATAGGCTTTTGTAATACTACTTTCTCCTACTGTACTTCTAATTGTCTTGACTGCTTCTTCTCAGTCTCCTTTGTGGCATCTTCATCTGGTGCCTGCTGGAGAGCCATGAATGCCCTCTCAAGGCTGTGTCCGGGATCCTCTTGTCTTCTTTCTCTATACTACTTCACTTGATGATCTCATCAGCTCCCCTGATTCCATTATCATCTCAATGCAGATGATTCTCCTATACGTTTGTCTAGCCTCTCTCTTGACCTCCAGTATCCCATCTCCAACTACCTTTTGGACATTTCAAATTAAGTGTCTCATAGACATCTTAACTTCATTGTGTCAAAAACTGACCTCATTATATTCATCCTTCCCCCAAACCCACTCTTCTTCCTAACTTTCCTGTTACTGTCCAGGGTACCACCATCCTCTAAGTGATTCAGTCTCACAAACCAGATGTCATCCTTGACTCCTCAGCTCTCTGCCACTCCCTATATCCACCCCAATTGCCAAATTCTACAGTTTCTACCTTCTTCTGCCTCCAAAACATCTCCTGTGTAAGTTCCTTTTTTTTCTCTGACACTACCACCACCCTGACACGGGCCTTTATTAACTCACTCTTCAATTATTGCAATAGCTACTTGGTTAGTTTACCTGCCTTCATGATTCTTTTTTTTAAATACATAAATAGTATTTATTTTTTTCTAATTACATGTGAAGATAGTTTTCAACATTCATTTTTTATAAGATTTTGAATTCCAAATTTTTCTCCCTCTCCCTTCCCTCTGCCTTCAAGATTATTCCCCACTCCAGTCAACCCTCCATTTAGCTGTCAAATTGATTTTCCTAAAATGTAGATAGGGGACAGCTAGGTGGCACAGTAGATGGAGTGCCAGACCTGGAGTCTTCTTCTTGAATTCAAATCTGGCTTCAGACTCTTCCTAGCTGTGTGACCCTGGGCAAGTCATTTAACCCTGTTTGCTTCAGTTTCCTTGTCTGTAAAATGAGCTGGAGAAGGAAACTGCAAACCACTCCAGTATCTTGGCCAAGAAAACCCAAAATGGGGTTTCAAAGAGTTGGGAACAACCAAACAACAAAAACAAATGTAGATCTGACCATGTCATCTCTCATTCAATAAAATCCAGTGGTTCCCTATTACCTCCTAGAAGATCAAATATAAAACCCTCTGACTTTCAAAGCCCTTTCTAACCTGGCCCCTTCCTACCTTTCCAGTCTTCCTACATCTTACTTCCCTCCATGTCCTCTGTAATCCAGTGCCAGTGGCCTTCTTGCTGTTCCTCTCCCAAGATAGTCCATCTCCCAACTCTTGGCATTTTTACTGGCTATTCCCCATGCCTGGCACTCTCGCCCTGTACATCTCTGTCTCCAGGATTCCCTGGCTCTCTCCAAGTCTCAGCTAAAATCTCACTTTCTGCAAGAAGCCTTTCCTAGATCACCTTCACCTTAATTAAGGCTTACTTCTGAGACTACCCTCAGATACGCACACACACTTTCATATGTATATACATGTATCTATGTACATATACACATTTGTATATGTAGCTATATCTCTTTATTTGTATATATCTTGTTTGTACATTTCTTGTACATATTTGTTTGAATGTTATCTTTCCTATTAGACTATAAGTTCCTTGAGAGCAGAGACTATTTTTTCCCCTTTCCTCAGGGCTTAGCACAGTGTCTGGAAGATAGTAAATGCTTAATAAATGCTTGCTGAATTGTTGACTAGTTTGATTTTATCAGGGAGAGAGGGGGAAGGAAAAAGAACAAGCATTTATTCAGTGCTTACTATGTGCTAGACGCTGTACTAAGCAGTTTACAAATATTATCTCATTCTATATTCATAACAACCCTGTGAGGTAGATGCTGTTTATTATCCTCATTTTATAGTTGAAGAAACTGAGGCTGACAGAGAATAAGTGATCTGCCCGGGATTACACATCTAGTAAATGTCCAGATTTGAACTCAGGTCTTCTTGACTCTAAGCCCAACATTCTATCCCCTGAACCACCTAGTTGCCTCTTTTGGAAAGGAGGAAGAATTAGATGTAAGGGAAGAAGAATAAACAGCATGATAAGAGTGATTAGAAGTTGGAGGAGAAAGTTCACAATATTATGGACAAAAGAATGGGAGAATGATGTAGAATGCAGTAAATAGTATAGTGGATTTAAAATCAGAGTATCTAGGTATGAATCTTAGCTCTGCTTCTTTTCATTTGTGGGACCTTCGATAGGCTATTTCTTGGGCCTCAGTTTCCTCAGCTATAAAACAAAGAGGTTGGACTAGATGAGCTCTAAGGTCCCTTCTAGCTCTAAATCCTAAATTCCAATAATCATTTATAGATAAGGACTAATTACAGGGGAAAACAAAGGTTAGATTTCCATTAAAAGGTAGGCGTCTACAAGGCCTCCACCAGGTCTCATTCACCCAATTCCCAATGCCACTGGCAGGTAGGTTCTCTAGAATTATTGCTACTACTACTTTTAGGTTCGAGGAGTAACTCTGACTGGCTATGCTTCTAAACACTATTTCAAGAGATCCCCACTAGTGCACCTGCCATTAACAATCAGTCAGTAGACTCAATAAGTCCTTTAGCAAAGGCACTTACTCAAACGGCATAGCAAGAGCATTCCTTACAAAGTATATTCCCCAACACCAGCTTGTTATCCCACAAATTCACCATTGGAAGGGGAAATGTTAGCATCAACTTAAAGTACAATGATACAAAGGCACGGGTGGGGAGACCGCGTGTGGTCAATATAACTTACAACTCTCAAACCGAAGGGCCTCAATGGCCTTTCTCTCTCCAGAGGTTCTTCACAAGTTCACTGTAGGGCATGAGTCAATTAGCTGCTTAGCTGGGAAATCTCTGTTGGATCAGCCGGACCAAGGACCAGTTACATAGGCCAATTTGCTGCTGGAGTGGGTAGAGCGAGTCGCTGCTTCTTGCCAGGCTCTGTTGCCAGGCAGAGATGCTGCCTGATGAATTGGCTGGCCTCCTGAGCTCAGTCAAAGGGCACTTAGAGTCTTTTTTCCACCTTTAGGCACTAGCTTGGCTGAGTGAGACTGCATTCATTTTGATTGGAGTACTACAGGTAAAGCAAGGACCCTTGGCTTGAGATCAATGGAGACTTTTTCCCTTTGCGTCCATCCTTCCTAGCTCTGAGGTGATTTGTCACATGCAGGCAGGAGATGAAAAGAGTCTTACCTCCTCTGGTCAGCAAATTCTTCCAGACTCAAAAGCCCTTTCCATCAGCACACCATGTGGCCTTAGTGTGATTAATTTCAATTTAGTCAGTTTCACTCCCAGTTATCCTTTGGGAATTGTATGTTTATGTATAGATGGAATGAAAGTCAGAATGCCAGTCCATGCCCAGGGGGCAAACTCACTGTTTTGTAATTGAAGTATTCACCTTCTGCCCCATTCTAGGGTAGAGAATGTCAATTTGACATCCCAAGAATTTTTCTCTGTCTCAGTTCTTTAGTCCCAGGGGACCTTCAGCTTTAGCCAAAGTCTCACTGGGAAAATCTTCTCTTATAGATATCATACCCCAAATGCCAAATAATAACAAACTCATACAACTTTAGAGTACTTTATAGTTTTGAAAACTCTTTCCTAGTCTTTTGATCTTAAGGAAACATAAAATGTCAGATGTGGAAAGGAACCCTACCATTTTATTTTACAGAAATAGGCCCAAAGAGAGGGACCAATATAGACGACTCCTCATGTAGTGCAACATTTCCCAGCAAGATTTCCCAAGAATGCAAATGATGTCCACCTTATTTTTTTTTCTTAATGGAAAGTTTCCACACCACCATTCTTAAGATCAATCCTTTAAGAAGAGTGACAAGAGGACTTAAATCCCACAAACATGAAATGTCAGAAGCTTGCCAATATTTTGTTTCTTTATTAAGTCTCGTATTTATTTTGGCTGTTTTGGCTGAACATTAGAAGACTCAAGAAAAACAGGCCTTTTTTTGTATTTTAGAAAGATGCATAATACAATTTAGAAATATCTAGTTATATTTCAAGTTTGAAGAAAATCCACCACCATACATAAGATTCATTTTTCATCCTCATTTTCTAAAAAGCTACCCAGACTGTGCTGCTACAATATCTCCCTCCCCCCATCTGAACGGTGTTCCTTGTGTAGCAAACGAGGCCAGTTTTTCTACTGCTATAAAGACATTTATAGGCCTTCCTTTTGTCCAAGTATCTGGGGCTATTTAGGCTGGTAGGCTGTGCATTTTGTCTTCCTAAGCCTATGGGAAAGGCAGTACAGGGGTTATTACCCTAATTTTACCAATAAAGAACTGAGACACAGACAAGTGAAGAGACTTTTTCAATATCACATGAATCCTTCATGAAAGACCTTCAAATTAAAACAGAGGTTTCTCTATGTCTACCTAGCCTACCACTCTCCCCACCACACCAAGCTGAAGAAATGCCTATCAACCCCATTTCAGTTGGTGGATGTCATCCAAAGACTTTAATGCTACAAACATAAACTTCAAAAGACTAAAAAGAACAACCTGAGTGCAAAATTTGGCCCAAAGAAATTGAGATTGAGAGCCAAAAGGTACCTTAGTAGTGGTCATTTGATAGATGTGGAAACTGCTGCCCAGAGAGGTGGTTTCTTCCCCAAGGTCACATAGGTAGGAAATAGCTGAGCTGAGATTTGAAAACAGGGTCTCTGATTCTTTCCAAGACACCTCTGCATGTTGCAATCGATGTTACTGACCCATATTAACCAGATTAGATTGTCATGACGCATACACAAGCCCAAATCAGAACTCTGGAGCTAGCTAAGTCTCTGTAAGCACTTTTAAAAGAGAATGAAAAAGAGAAGCTGCAGGCTGTGTTCAAATAAAGAGAACTCTCTAGTCTAGACAATAATTATCAGTTGTTTCACTCTTTATATAAGCAGATATTTCTTTTAGATTTGTACATCTATGAGCAGGGCCATTGAAGGAATACTCCTGAAAAGCAATTTGATATAAAAGGCTCTGTTTAAATATTAATATTAAATTAATATCAATACATGAATGAATAAAATGAATATTAATATTAAATAATAATTAAATTGGTATTAAAATATTGAGCTAAGATGAACATATTGGTATTACCAAAGAGGGATACCCTACTCACCCCCTTGGAATGGATTTAACAATACCAGCATTGTACTTTTTTTCTAGGTCGACTCCATATGAAATGGCTGTAGCTATAATTGTCTAAAATAAAGCAAAAAAGAAAAAATCTCTGATTTTTAAAAATATCTCTTCTTGCAATATGGTCACTATGTTTATGTAAATAAATGCGTATTCTACTTACCACAATCACTTCTATAGGAATAGGAATAGGAATTTTGTGTTTGAATCTATCATTTATTTCCTTAACAGCTAAGCAGATAATAATGGTAAGCAGTCCAGCAACGAAATCTGCAATGTTTGTAGTACCAATTTTCTCAAATATCTCAACCAGAGTCTATAAAAAAAGAAAGTGATTCACTTTTTTAAAAAATTGTATTAAAAGTTTAACAGTGAACATCACTACAACCAGCTCAATTTGCTTAATAACTATGACATTTAAGTTAATTACAATTCATAATGTATCAAAACAATTATTTGGTCACTCCCTTTAAGTCCTCATTAGGATTCTTTTGGTATATGCCCAGGGGTTCTGCTTTTTTTTTTTCTTTGTAATTTTTTAAGGGTCTTTCCAGATTCTTTATATTCCCTGTACTTGCTGGCCCAGGCTAATTTTCTTTCTGTTGCAAAAAGATAATATTCCTGTTCTCACAGATTATCAACCTGGGAACTCATGTAAGCACTGTGATGCCATCACATTTCACTTACTACCTTTCTGTGTGTACCACTGTGCTAGTGATTGTACAGAGGTAGTTAAATGCATCAAATTTCTTATTACTAAACCATAAGCAATGCCTCAAGTTCTAGATTCAGAGAAGTCTGGAAGGACTGGCACAGAATGAAGTGAGAAGAGTCAGAACAATTCACACAATGGCTTGAACATTGTAATGGAAAACAACTTTGAAAGATAAAAACTCTGATCCACCTAATGACCAACCATGATTCCAGAAGACCAATGATGCAGCGTGCTTGGATCAATGATGAAGCATACTTCCTACCTCTTGGAAGAAAGGTGACAGGCTAGAATTGCAGAATGAGACATGCATGTCAGACACAATATGTGGATCTCTTTTGGTCCACTGTGATTATTTATTATAAGAAAGACTTAAAAAATACTTTGGAAGAGAAGAACTGGAGGAAGGGGTGAGGGTTTGGCTAAAAAAAGAGTGTAAATGAAGCAGGTCTTCAATGCACAGAAGAGCACAGAAGGGAATTCATAGGGAAACACAGACTGGCACAACAGCTTTGAAACAAACATGTTGAATTTAAAAAAAATTTTTAACTAGCTATATGTAATTAAAGATCACAGTTTGATATGCAAACTTCTCTTTTTCTGTTCTTCTTTACATATGTAAATGTACATGTTTATGGTTGTTTGTCAAGTTCAAAATAATAAAAGATAAAATTAAAATTAAAAAATGCGTCTGATTCCTAAGCTCTATAAAAATGACTTTAGTAATAGAGAAAGCACTGGATACTGACAAGAGCTGTTTTTGTCGTTGTTCAGTCATGTCCAACTCTTTGTGACCCCATTTGGGGTTTTCTTGGCCAAGGTACTGGAGTGGTTTGCCATTTCCTTCTCCAGCTCAATATACAAAGGAGGAAACTGAGGCAAATAGGGTTAATGACTTGCCCAAAGTTACACAGTAAGTGTCTGAGACTGGATTTGAACTCAGATCTTCCTGACTCCAGGTCTAGTACTCCAACCACTATGCTACCTAGAGTACTAGACTGGTAATCTGGTGACAGACATGGGGACTTGGGCTAGGTACAAATTCTCTGAGCCTCAGATTCTTTATTCTGCAAAGTGACAGGGTTGAACTAAATCATCTTTAGTGTTCCTTTTGTTTCTAAAATCCCATAACTGATTTAGAGGGTCAGTCAATAAATATTTATTAAGCACCTACTACGTGTCAGGTACTGTGCTAAGAGTTGAGTATACGAAAAGAGTCAAAAGACAGTCCCTGCCCTCAAGGAGCTTGCAATCTAACAGGGAATTTTATAATTAAATTGTATAAAACAAATTTTATTTATAAATTAAATTAAAATAACTTGAAAGTATCATTTGCTGACCAACATGTTCATAATTTTAGCATAGAAATTTTGAGACTCTTAGAGTAAAAGTTATGACCACACATATGACCACAAGGTTATGATGGCAATTCTCTAGACATTTCGAACACAGTAACAAAACACCCTAACCACTGTTATGTCAACTGAGTGATATTTCAGGTGAAACTTTTGTTTGAACCTAAATGATCTTGGTAAATGTCATAATACTGTGATAGGCTTGGTGTGTATAGATACAAATGGGAGGTAGTGTTGGGAGTTAGAAGCAAGGTCTCTGAAGACAGGGACTGTTTCATTTTTGTCTTTGTTTTGAGCCTTGACTTGGCAGGTAGCTGTGGGATTCAATTTTTTGAAATTCAATTTATCTATCTAAAAAAACATAATTAAGAAACTTTTGTTACTTGACTCAGAATTCTTGTGAGGAAAACATTTTACAAAGTGCCATACAGATGGGAGAAACTTTAAAAAAATTAGTGTTTTTAATCAAATCCTTTCCAGCTCTAGCTTTCTATGATTTTATGCCAATTTGATTGCAAAGAAGTTCCCCAATCTCCAAAATTATCCTATCTGTGTATGCTAATAAAGAGGTATGCCATGATTCACACAGAATTAGGGCTGGCAAAGGTCATAGAATCATAGATTTAGACTTGGAAGGGACCCTAGAGGTAGGTTATCTGGTGAAACCCTCTCATTTTAAACTTGAGGAAAATGAAGCCCAAGGGAAATGAAATGACTTAGTCAAGGTCAAACAGGAAGTAAGGAGCAAAGTCTTTGGATACGAACCCAGGCCTTCAGATTCCAAGTCCACAGAATGTGTCAACTATAGATACATTCTGAGTATTTTTTCGCGTCAGGCACCAGTTTTTACACCTGAATTAAAGAATTTTTAAACTACTTTTTGGAGGCAGCTAGGTGGCACAGTGGCTAGAGTACCAGCCCTGGAGTCAAGAGGACCTGAGTTCAAATCCTACTTCAGACATTTGACACTTAACTAGCTGTATGACCCTAGGCAAGTCACTTAACCCCATTGCCTAGTCAAAAAAATTAAAATTAATAAACTAGTGCTTCCCCCTAAGGTAAGAACTCAAGAAAAACTAGTTTTGTTTTATAAATAGGATACTCCTGAGGGGAAAGGAACATGTTTTTCAAGAGAGTTGGAAAAGATAAAAACCCCAAGAGGAGAATTAAGAGCTTTGCAATATCAGAATCACCCCTGTGGGAATTATAGATCAAGATGCTGTTACTCAGTTATTTCAGACAGAGAATCTTCACTCAACAGTGGAAGATGGTGCTTCATTTCACTTACTCTGAATAAGTCTTTGTTTTCTAGGCCCCCTTCAAACTCAAGCCAAAGGGACTGGAACACCTTGTAAGTTGTAAACTGTAGCTTACCCATTTCCAGCAGGCATGCTGTACTTGTAGACCTCATGTCAACAATAAACTGTTCTCAATGAGCCTATAGTAATGCCTCATTTATCGAGAGATTTCTGACTCAGAAAATTCAATCATCTCAAGTACATGTGAGAACAAGAGAGTGAGCAAAGAAATATCTTGAGGGGCTACAAAGTCTGTGCACTAAACCTCATGAACAGGATCCATATAAGAACCTCTAGAACATCCTCACTTTTAGCTTGTCTTCTTTTTTTCTTTTAATTTAATTTATTTTTAATTTATGGACTAACACAAGCATTTCTATAACATAGTACAATAAAAAGATAATTGCACACAAACTGCAAATATACTTTATACAACTTACTATTCCTTTCAGATATACAACAAAATCACATAAATGCCTTTTTTTCTCCCCTCCCCCCCATAGCTACCATTAGACACAAATATTAACTTTTAATTTAGGCACAATTCTTTTTCTTCTTTCTTTTTATTAATTTATTTCCAGTTTTCAACAATCACTTCCATATGCTTTTGAGTTTTAAATTTGAGGCACAGTTCTAATGAATATTTGTTGATTGAGTTTTCTAGCCCACCGTAGAAGAGAAGCAACAAATTAGAAGTTGGGGAGTACTTTCTAGAGGCAGGCACCTGACTCTAATAAGAGGTTAAGAACTAGAGGAGGGGAATGGATATCACAGCAAGGAAGGAAAGAAAAACCCAGAGAATGCAGGCCTAAAAACTAAAAAAATCTAGCAGTTGGGGCTACTTTTTGATGCACTTTGGTAGATATTGAAGGTATTGTTAGATAGATAGAAGTACAAGATAATAACTGATGTTTGGGAAGATGATCGAATCATTTAAGAAAAGGTTAGAGTCACAGAATTTGAGTGTTGGCAAGGGACCTCAGCAGACACTGAGTCCAATTCATGCACAAAAGGAATTCCCACTATCATATATGTGACAAGTGATCGATTGTTAGGAAGGTTTTCCTGCCACCAAAAGTCTAAATTTGTCTCTGGGCTGCTTATACTCATTGCTCCTGGTTCTGCCCTCTGGGACCAAGCAGGATAAGTGCAATACCTCTCCAAATCCCAGCTCTTCAAGTGCATGAAGACAAGCTATTGCATCCCTGCTGGGTCTTCATTTCTTCTAGCTAATCACTTCCAGTTTCTTCTATCAAACCTCAAGGACCTCCACTTCCTAGTTTCTCTCCTCTGGACACTTTCCAGCTTATCATATCCTTCTTAAACCATGCTCAGGATGAAGCCTGGTGAGGGCAAAGTACAGGGGGAGTTATGACTTGTATTGCTGGAAGCTATGCCCCTTCTTCATGCGGCTCTGATCAAATTAGCTTATTTCATCATCCACACCACACTGTTGACTCACACATATTGAACTTATAAACCCTCCAAACAGCTTTTTAAAGAATGTTTAACTATTCATGCCTCCCCATCGATAGTTATAAGGTTAATAGTTTTTATACTGAAGTGCAAGACTTTTTTTTTGTTCTTATTCAATTTTATCTTATTAGATTCAACTCAGGGCTCCAGCTCAGAGGTCTCGAACACACGGGCGTGGGGGTGCAGGTGGTGGCATTTAGTCCACAACACTCCAAAGTGTAGTCCAAATCAGATTAAAATATAATTGGTAAATATTTAACAAAATAAATTAAAATAAAATATAGATAACATTAATATGTAGTTTTGTAAGTCAATACTCACCCCAGGAATCATTCTTTTGTTTTTTTTTTTTTGGTGAGGCAATCAGAGTTAAATGACTTGCCCAAGATCACACAGCTAGTGAGTGTTATTGTGTCTGTGGCCGGATTTGAACCTGCACCACCTAGCTGCCCCCCTCTCCAGGAATCATTCTATA